CTCGTCACAGCAAACATTCATTTAGGAAAGTATTGCCGTCTGAAATTGTACTTTAAACAAAGGATGAGTAGTCCTTCATAATGAAGAGCCTGGCAGTATACTTCTTGATTGCAGTTTTCATTGGAAACACTCTTGCAATACCAGTGCAGAAACGGTAGGTTGCTAAATAGATTCAAGGAAAGATGAGATCTTATACTTTTTGTATGAAAATAGCCTTCAGCTTTACAATACAGATTGATTTATAAAGATATGTCTTCACTGGTAGAAAGCAATAGACTGTGGGGAGAAATAATCTATTCAAATGTATGAAACCCTCTAAATGGATTAGAGCAATAATAATATTACTGCTGTTAAGCTTTACTCTTTTACAACAGGAAATCAGTTTATTCCCCAAAGTAGTTTCTAAGTTGTGCACAAACAAGCCTCAGTTACAGCTGTTCTCATTACCATGAGGACATTCTCAACTAGAGCACCACTCTTCTCATGTAAAAAGACACCTCCCATCAGCATTCATGCAGATAGGATTCACAGGGAGAATATTATTACTACTACTACTACTAATAAAAAAATAATTTCTTCCCATGGCTGGAAAAAACAAAACCCCACAGTTTCCTTTTTGTAGCACTTCATACATATTCCTTAAAGGGGCACTGCAATGATATTTTTAAATTTTGGAATTGGAAAGAAAATGTGTGTAAAATGTACACAGCAACTGTGTCACAAAATAGATGTAATTTCCAGGGATGCACAGCTCCATGTTCTGCGATTCAAAATGAGGCAACAAAACATCCGGTGATGTGAAGCAGCTCTATTACACTGTAAACAAGCGGGTTTGTGAACACATGTCTTTTATTCCAACAGACATATTGCTCTCAACTTCAAGACAGTTTTGCCAATAAATGGAACTTGTTAACTATGTATGCCGATCACGTTGGAAACGTCCTGCAGTGCAATATGTATTTAATTCGCTCTTACATCAGTCATTACAGACAGGAAGGGCCATTTCTCGTCACTGTTCATGGGAACTCTCACCTGTGATGAGAACAGGGGTTGGTGACAACATGACAACTTATAGTACTGCTTAATTTGAAATTTGATTTTTTTTTCTATACTGTCAATGAGTTTATTTTGTGACCAAGATTTAATAACTGGTCTGAGAAATTAGAACTGTAGTTCCCCTTTAAAAGCAGAATATGCCTCAGTGCACCTTATACTAAAATCAGAAAAAAAGTAAAATAATTCAAATTGTAACCAAAATTACCTAACGCAAAGTGAATTTAAACCTGCTTTGAAATACTCAGTGTTAGTGTTGTTTCCTACTCTAGTATGAGTTTAGAACAGAATTTTCAATGTTAGAATCATAGTGATATTCTCACAACCCACTATTGAATCAATTTACAGAAAAGGTTACCTTCACACCCTGATAAGTGTTCTTTTCTTTAGAGAAACTAGCTATGTCAGGGAGGCTGAAGAACCATTCTATGCCATTGAACTTCCAAAAAGGCATACTGCGCTTTTTGATGGTAAGAACTTTACTTTGAATGTCACTGAATTATCTGTTTTAACTTCTTGTGGATTTTTCATTGTGCTTAATTTAGCATTATCTGGCATTAAACTTGTATTTAAAAAACAATAACCGTCTTAAATTACCAGCATTGTCTGAAAATCCTAATCCGAGTTCCAAACCAACAGTGTAAAAAATTAAGCAATAAAATAAACATTCAAAGTCCATGTGTTATTTTTTTGATTATACTGTTTTTCAGATTATGGCCAGAAACCTGTGGCACCACACCTGCAGCTGCCAGAGGCACACAGGCAATATCCAAACCTTCAATCTGTAGGCCTGAGCGAAAGAGATGAGCTCGAGCTGGAAGATTATTACTAGCCACTAACTCGAATAAAAGCTGAAGTAACTCAGAAGTATAGAGATTGTAATGGAGTGATTATTATTGCAACTCAAACCAAAAGCTAAGGAATAACTTCTAATGAGTGTCTGGTTTCTTTGTGTTGTCACATGCCCTAAAAGAATGTTCACATAGATTCATAAGAGCATAATCATGTTTGCAAACCTGAGGAAGCTCTTCCTCCTATTTACAGCAGCTTTTTGGTCATGAGATGCTAATTAATCGAAGTATCTCCTTGAGAGAAACACGGGTAATTCTTATTTCATATGTTTATGTTACCTATCTCATTTCTTTATATATTAACTTCATTAACATGGTTGACTTCCCTTTGTGTAAAGATATGCTTCCTTTTCTCCATTTTAAATGCACTTACTCATTTATTTTTTTCTGGTTTCTGTTTAGTGATAAAAGATCGCTTTCCTGTTGTTCTAAAGAAGCCCATAGTGCTGATTTGTTCAATTCCTCTGAGCATCCTGAATACTTCAATCTGTCCCCTTGTAGCCCTCTTCGTTAAAGACCAAACAGATGTAGTTATTTCAGAGAACTACAGTAAGCACTGTATTAACTATAGTATTCAGAAAAGGCGTGATCTCTTCAGATCCATCCTTCTGGTATTAAAATTGTTACAGGTTTGTCAAAAAAAGGACACAGTTCCAGGACCCAAAGTCACAAGTGGCACCTTTTCAAAGATGAATCGGTCACTTTACAAAAACCTTTGCTTTGCAAAAATGACGACAATGCAAATGGGAGACTGCTTTCAAAATTTTAAGGGAAAAAATATACACTTCAAAGGTCAAAAAGAAAAAAATCACAAACTACAGTATGAATTGATACAATATAACATTGTAATTACAATATTTATGGCAGATCTTTACATCATTCTCTTCTCCTGTTACTTTATATGTCAACATAGAGTTTGCCGTTTTAAAATGAAACATAATGCATACAAAAATTCTCAACATAAGACTCATTCAGTTTCTTACTGAAATTAATAACTGAAATCATGCTGTAGACTTAGAGACAGATTTTTTTTAAATCTCCACTTGAATCAAGGCCATGTTATAAAATATGCAAAGCACGCTGCCAACATTAGTTTTGTAAAATGGTCATTACTGTAGGATTCCAGTGATAGTTTCCCTGTGAAAAGTTACAAAAAAAATGCTAAAATCTCATAAGTGATCAAATTAAGGTTTTTCTTGCTCAGAAACATTCTAATACTCACTTCAAAGGTTTTTTTCTCTGGATTCCCATGCCCTTACTACAGAACCGCAATCTACAGAAGTCAAATGAAATAACATTCACTCATGTCCTTTACCACAGTCATGTAGAACTTACAAGAGGAGGCATTATGGAAACACAGATGGCAGATCTGTAATTCCTCACTTTGTCTTACAAATCTCTCAAACATAACAATGAAAGACCTGCCTGAGTTCCGCACGCAAAACTGTGTGCTTTTACTCTTTTGAAGATTCAAGCGTTAACGTATTTCTACACTGCTTGTATCACTGACTGTGGTCCTAAAACCTTAGGTGCACAAAGTGCACAAGATTTCTAAGGATCCTATTTGCTGCTTTGCAAACAGTATCTGTTTATGCTGCAAAAAGTTGTTTCAGGCAACCTGTCTGTATTATAATATGAGTACCCAAGACCACATTAAACTAAATGCTCATTGTGCGAAACCAACAAAAAATGTAGGCGAGCATTTCAAAACAGCTCTTCAATTAAAAAAAGAAAACATCTAATAAATTATATTGTAAAAAAACTATGTAAGTGAGAATTGGCTCATCTCAATTAATATAACGCTATTCATAAATAATTTTTAAATTATACTAATTTGGTTTTCCAGTCTTCTTTATAATACAATATACTGTAGACTATATTACCAAAACCTCTAGATGAAAGGCAAAACAATTGCATATGAAAGAAATACAATGCTTATTCGTATCCTCTTCAGCAGGGACATTTATCAGTACCACATTAATGCATTATTGGTTTACAGATATCTGGTATAGGATATTGAGATATGACTCCATGCACACTTACACAGATATTTCTTTCCCTGATAGAAGCCAATTAAGCAACTGATACCACCCCACTTTCGATTCCATATAAGAAAAATATTCATTCTAATGACAATGATAAGAATAGGCACTACTTATGGAGATCTGAATGACAGAAACGTCCAGTTGTAATGCGCTGTCAAACAAAACAAACCCATTACATACTAATTAATTCTGTTGGGAAAGGATATTACTTGTATACATATTATAAGTTTAGCAACACCAAGTCATTCATTACGTATGGAAATTAATATCTTATTAATAAACTGACAGAATTCATTTATAAAATAATATTTTGTGAATACTTATCAGATTACAAAAAATATTTTTTTACTGATTTCTTAAACGAAATTACTCAAATTTTGTAAAAACATCTGAAATGTGGTTTACCGCACCCTTAACACAGTAGTTACTTAACAGACCTTTTAGACAGTGACATTTCATTTGAAGTCAATTTTTCCTCCCCCAGGTTATCAGGTCAAGAAAATGTGTATCTGGGTATTATGATATATCCTTGTTACAAACTAAAAAAGTTCATGATTATTTTATTTCATTCAGACAAAAGTGCACATATGTTGAGAATTTAAGCCCTTAATTTTGTCACCAAAAACACAAACAGGAAATATTTGTGATCTGTAAAGATGTAAAGTTCACATTTTTTTAAATTAAATTTATAATTGGCTTTGCTATTCATAACTGCACTGCATAGTTCACCAACCTAGCTTGGTTCTTGCTTGCATTAGAGAACCTTTAAAAGTTCTTACTGTATGTTCAGTCCTCCATGCAGTGCTAAACTGAAAAGAGAGTTTCTTCTAAACTGTTTAATTTTATATTAATTTCAATCATACTCCCAGGTTTCAGAGGTATCAAAAACACAATTTACTGAAGCTTGTGTCTTCTAACCTCTGTCTACCCCCCATGTACTGGGTGTAATAAGCTAGGCTTTATGCCATTGTACACAGGAAGTTGCATCCCAATAAAAAGTATCCATAATGGAAAATAAAATATGGGACAGCATGCATTAATTTAAAAATAATCTGCTTCAAAACTAAAGATATTTAAAAACTGTAAAAGAAGTCAAGATGTTTTCCCATATTTATTATTTTAATTTCTTAAATAAGAATATTGTGAAAACTGGAACATATTCTGTCCAAAAAATAACTGCCATACATTTTGGTCTCTTTCCTGTGCAAATACAGGACTTAAACAGATCTCCAGCTCAATTCACAGGCTCACATTATCTTTTATCCAAAAAGGCTGATAAAATGGGCTGTTATACATCTTTACTAGACATCTAATTTCAGGCTTAAAAATTTTATCGAAACCTACAGAACCTACAGTTGGATTAGCTGTTACAATACAATCTTGATATTTCAGGAACATAAAATTCTAGTCTTCAATTTCATGTCCATTATCCACTTAAACGATCTGAAGTGCAAAGTTGTGTGCAGTAGAGTATTGTGCTTTGCACAGTAATCATCTGAATAAGATTTTGCAGGGCTGATAATAAAACCCTTCTACCAATGGTTGCTTAAGACGACGTTTTTTTTTCCAAAGAAAATTTCTAAGCAAAAAAGTAGATGTCTGTTTTTTTTTGTTAAATGTAATATGTTTCATTTTTTTTCCTTCATGCAACATGATATGATACACAATAATGTACAAGGAGCATGGGCACGGCAGGGCTGCCTATTCCAAGTAAATGTCTTCTGTCGGGCATGTGTATTCCACATATTCCTTATAAAATTGTTGGAATGCTCTCCTGTGTAAAACAACAACAAAAAATTGAACTTAGAACATGAATTACAGAAATTTAAGTAAAAGGTGTCTGGATACTATGGCCACAGTCTATGTTTTTACTAAATACCATTTCAATTTGCAGAAGCATAAATATATTATAATGATTCTCTTCTTATTTGCATTTAACTTTTTTTAATTAAGCATTTTTAAAAACCTAAATGACACTAGAATAAAACAGGTCAGCTGCTTCTTTCACAGAGCAAACTTTCTATACCTACCCTACAGATTCCGCAAGTGGTTTTGTTGAATCTTCGGAGACAAAAACATGACAAGCAAATCTGTGATCAGCAGGATGTTTGGTAATAAACCCAAAGTACCTGAAATCACAACATAAGAAACTGTCATATGTAATGGATGTGGTACATCTGCTGAAGCAGAGTTAATGAAGCATGACTTCCAGTCAAGTAGTGCAAAAAGCTGGCAAAACTGACAACTGGTCAGTCTGATTTAACTGGTTTAACCAAGTCTGGTTATCTGCAGATTCCTTAAGTATTCAATCACATTTTTTATAATGTATAGTTACCTCATATTCTATAATGTGTTATCAGAAATACAGTGAAGAAATACCCCAAAATTAGGATTTGTCATTGTTTCTAAAATGTCCAACAGAATAAGCAAGAGATTACAGATCTGCATACATCATTCTGGGGTCTGTTTTTGTTCGATTACTTAGTAATATTTGCATATAGAATTGAACACACTATACCCGAAAACATAAAAATTTAACTAAGTTAATTAATCTTTCTATGGAGTCTCTGAAACAAAACATTTTAGAAGTGATCATTATTTCAAACTAAAATTGTTGACATAATGAAAGTCATGTTAATGATGGAGGTGAAAGTTTGATTTTCCATGGCTCACTTACTTATTGTTCTTCGGATGATACCCACAAAAGGAGATGTTCTTTAGTTGGAAGAAGTGACTGCATTTATTACCCTTTCAAAGAAAAAAAGTTTTTCTTTAAATTTTACACACTTATGGTATTACAAACACAAAAAATGCATTTCTAAATGATCTGGCAGGGGTAAAGTAGGCAGAAAAGTTTGTAAGATGTTTTGAGGATATATAGTATCCTCCTAACCAGCCACATTTGCATCAGAATTTATTGGATTAAATAAAAAAACAGAATAAAATAATACAAAAATTATAGATATAAATCAAGGGATGTTATGTTAAAATTGTACAATGCACTAGTAAGATCTCATTTAGAATGCAGTATCCACTTTTGGTCACCACATTACAAAGAGATATTGCTGTTTTGGAATCAATTCAGAGAAAGGCAACTGGATAATTTTCTAGTGCATTAACACTAAAAGATTAAAACAGCCTAACCTGTTCACTCTTGAACAGAGACTACAAAGGGACCTGGTCCAAGTATTCAACATTTTCAGAAGTACAGGCCAAGTCAACTCTTTAGTATCAACAGTGAATCTAGGGGTCACCACCAGTGGAAACAACATAAAAAGTGAATTAACATTGGAAACAGGAGACACCAAATACCCAGACAACCAATTCACCAATTCAGCTCTGAATGGGCCCAGCTGGTGTCTAAAGACACTCACCCCAGATTCTAAGGCAAGCTTTCTTCCCAGCTTCCTCCCACCACAGGCAAACTCCTGAGTAAGACAGAACATGGGATTAAAACAAGAGCAGATATTGTGTACAGCCTATACTTTACTGATTTTATGTCTGATAAAAGATCCAGACATGTGGTGGAGCCAAACATGTTTGGTATCCTACAAGGAACATTCATGTAAAAGCAACAACCAGAATATATTTTCAGCAAAATGCGAGTCACCACAAACAGAATCATCATCTTAAATGCTGCATGCAATACATACTGTCAGATCCATAATAATTTAATGAACTGCATCAATCAAGTAGGAGTATCATTTCAAAGAATGAAAATGCTTCACTGCTTAATTACATTGACTTATTAGGTTTGAAATTTCTACATTAAAGATTGCCTCACCATTTCAAATGGAATATCTCCTTATACAGATTCATAAACACACATTCCCTTTTTAGATTATTATCAGTTAATATTTAATTTTTATTGTCTGCCCAAATCAGTACATCACTAGCTGCAGTGTCAAGAACTGTCCTCTTGGAGGAGACAAACCACCATGTACCTGTATAGTTCTTTACATAACAGATCCCCAGGAAATGGTTATGTATTCAAAACTCAGCTTTAATAAACACATTGCATTCTTCAGCGAATGTTTTACCTATAGCAGGCTGTGCATGTGTACTACCATCTGAAAAATATTTACAGAGAGGCTTGCAGATACATTCACAGATTACTGGCAGATAGATTCACAGATGTCGTGTTGCACAATACAGGTTTCACAACATTGTGACATTAGAATGTAGAGATGTAGAGAGCTAGCATATTTACAGTGCACCTCTGCATGTGAACCGTGTAAAAAACATTAGACAAACAAGAGAATTAGAAAAAAAAACATACTCTGTCAAATGTACTATAGTCATCCTGTACAACTATTTTAACCCCCCTCATGTTAATCTCTAGAATGCAGGAGGAAGGAGGATTAAACTGCACTGTCATTCTTCGGTTGGTAGCAATCTGAAATAAAGCAAAGCACAAAAAGTAATATTAATTAAACCAAATCTTTCTTACAGTATATTCTGTATAATCTGTCCACCAATGTTTGAGCTAAAGTTAATAGCAGACAGGAATATTTTTCAGTTTCTTTGACAATACAGTCTAATTCTACATTGCTCAAGAGTATAAGACCTGGCACAAACTTTGGACCTATACCAATGCTACTACACATAAAACTGTACTTAGAAATACTTGCATATAGAATTGAACACACTATACCTTAAAACATACAAATGTAATTTCAGAAAATTAATTCTAAAGCTTCTATTCTAACTCCTTCTAAATTCTAATATTCTGTTCTATTCTATTCCTAAATTCTAAAGATTCTAAAGATCTAGGAATATTCCTGTCCCAGGATTAGCAATAAAGATAAATCCTACTGTCTCCCATAAAATGATCCATATAGTAACTGTGGAGTGACCGTCTTTGCCCCATTATGTTTTAAGTCTTTTGCAGGTGAATGCTGTCATACCTTTTGCATAGCTGCACAGAGAACATCATTCCCTTTGTGATATGGCACTTGAACGGATCCAAGGAATTTCACCCGGAATTTGTCTACCCAGTCACTCCTCTTCTCTAATTCACGGAAAGGGAAAGGATAATGAAAAATGAACGGACATCTAGGATCTTTGGCAAATTCTCTTTTAGGATATGTAAGTAATTACAACAATTGAACTTACAGAGTGTTTTGCTAGTATAAATTTGCACTTGACAACTCATAATAATGAAATTGCACTAATGCATTTACACATACAGATAACTGCCTCAGCCACTTTTAGTTTCAAAGTAAGTTTTTAATGAAATATCTCCAGTCTCTCTTATTCTATAAGAGATAGAGAAAGTCAATCTAATATTTGTGATAAAGACTAACGTTAATAATTAATTTAACTTGGCAATGGTATTGTGTGACAAAATGGTCATTTCTACTGCACCGTTATGTTGCAGGTCCTGAGTGAAAAATCTTTCTGGAGTTTTGCTAAGTATCAAGACCATTACTGCAAGGCTCCTAAAAATGAAGCACTTCTGTTTAGCTGGGGCATCATCTTCAGTACCTTTACTGTCTTTAAAGGGCTCAGGCTCCTTGGTGACCTCGATGGCGTAGTAGGCAGGGAAGACTCCCCTCTCCCCTGTCCTCATGTTGTAGGCCTCATACCAGTAGTCATCTGCCTGGACTTCCACCAGAAGAGGGTCGTCCACCTCCAGATCCAGCTCATCGTTGTGACGTGGAATAAACCTGCCAGCAAGCACACAGGCTTTTGTTAGATAAGACCGCGGAGAAAAAGCAAGATTTTTATAATACAGTACATTAGCACTATATGATTTTTATATATGATTTTTCATGCATTGATCTTTAGTTAATTTATGCTCAGAAATAGCAGGAAACCTACTGAGATCTGCTTCTGTGAAAGTGAAAGAACTTCTCATCTTAAAACTCATTTGTGTTGCTAGAATGTCAACATACTTGGAAGGTACCTCCAGCAGACATAACCAGCTTAAGATCTTAGGAGAACACACTGCACTAATCTTCTTTCACAGCCGCCTAGTGGCGTAAGCCCTGTCCACGTCTTTCAATTAGCAATAATCCAGCGTCAATGGCGTGTTTCAGCAAACAACCTGGCTTCCAGATATCAAATTCAATATGCTTGATTAATTAAAAGGGTGTTCAAATTTAGATTTTAGTCATTAATTCCAATGACATTGAATTTCCACTTTCAATGATCAATGCCTTTTTAAAAATCATTGCCAAAGTAGACTGATATTTGTGTATACTGGTGACCATGCTATATTATTACGAGTACAATGCTTTTGCTTTTTTTTGGTGTTGGTGTCTTATTTATGGCATCTCTGATATTATCTGGCACATTTTAAGGCAAACAGTGCTACAGAGACAGCAGTTACAGTATTGTGCAGTGTGTCAACAAATTGGTGAACGAATTGGCTCTATTTTTGCTCCTTTGGGTATCACAATACTTCCTACGTCTTACCTGAACACTGCTCGATGGCTCTGCTCTCTCTCTTCCCCATTTATTACGCATGAAAACAAGCCAAAGGACTCAGCACCTGAAAAAGGTCAAGGAACATCTTACATTATATGTGTGGAAATCATACATCTTTGTACCCTGAATGCCACCTTCACATACTGTAAATATATGGTGGAAAACAGAACTAAGTTAATAAGAGCTTAATTCTTTCTTTTCATCAGCAAATACAAAAAAAAAAATCCTTGGTTGTGATCATGGTGGTCGAAATTCTATGTCAGCGTAGGTTTCGTTTTTATTTTAATATGAGCTGAAAGTGAAAGAAAGAAGGACTGCAACTCTGTGACAGCTAAAATAGTTCACCAGACAGCCCATGCAAATTCTCTTCTGTACTGTTATAGCTCACACCTGTTCCTGTGCAGGACTGATTTTATCACTTGGGCTGATCACTCTTTCCCATCTTTCTTCCATACGCTTATTGTAAGTTAAAGTTAGGTATTATAGGTATTGTTAGGTACAATGTTGGTGCTTGAACCAAGCTGCAAAATACCACCCAAAAAATAAGCGCCACGGTAACAAATTTAGCAGTTCTGTCCAACCCCAATTAAGACAGAGAAGATTCACAAATCGAATAGTGAGCTGTATTGGTGGAATTCCCCTGGCCGTGGAGTCAGCAAAGGAGTGATATTTCTACTTAGGGAGGTGGAATTGGGGTTTGACTTCCTCCTGAATGTCATTTTAAACTCCATGAGACTCTGTAAAGAAGAAGCTACTGAATATTAGTATGTTCATTTATGGATAAGAAATATATCAACAATTTGGGGCAAACTTTAGTACCCACAACTACTTTACAAGAGATATAATTTTACTGACAAACTGATCTGCTTTTATACATTTATGATAAATCTTTGTTGATGATTTTATTTATTATGTGGAACTTATTTTCTTTTTTGTGTCTATTATACTACAAGACTATTAATCTTCTCTCCATAAGATTCTTTCACATTATCTTAGAATCAAAAAACATATGAGTTTATTCTGAATATACTTTAGACACAACGTAAAGATTTTATTAGATTGTTTTCTCTAAATTGCGGGAACTACCAATCGATACATTAGCAAGCATACTGTAGCTTATTTAAACTCCCAGGTATCAATGAAACTTCACTAACCATGAAGACTGCCATGTAATTCTGATCCAGTGTTTTGAAGAAACAATGAAGGCCTTACTCTTTTATTGTCCCTCTTTATTATTTTTTATGGTGCATGCATTAGTATCATTATTCTTTCTTATGTTTCTTCAGAAAAACTGCATTAACTGAATTTGGTGGCAGCTGTCATAATTCCCTGCCAGATGACACCCTGTGTACTCATCTGTCAGCAGACCCACAACGCTTCTTGTGCCAGATTTACTGACAGCTCACTGATTGAACAGTCTTGACTGGCACCTGTTCACTAAAAAGCTGCCTGCTCTCACTATCAATCTAGCTATTTTTAGGGCATGTAGCTGTGCCCATTTAGGGCATTTCTGCACTACTGAGAAGATTAGAGGTAGGCAGGGCATTGGGTTGATCAGCAATAAAAATGACAACGTATGCTGGCACCTTCCCTATCTCTCTGATCAATTTACCCATCAATCCACCCTCCTGACCATACATTTTGCTCAATGGAAAACTAGGATACATGGGTGGTGGAATTTGCATTTTAAAAAGATTCAGCTGACAGCATATATGAATTAATCTCCATAGCATAATGTTGTTCATTAGTTTATAATGTTGGCCTACTGTTTCCAAAAGTTTCCTGTGCTCATCAATTAAAAATAAATAATGCAGAGGCACACACAAAACAAAAAATGCACACGTACTGTATGGAATTCTGAGCTAAATCCAATTAAATCTGTTTGATTAATCAACCACACTTCTGCTTCCAGCAATAGAAGAGAGAATGGGGAACATGGGGAAGACAGTTACAGTGGGTTAAAATTCCATGTTGTTCTAGAATTTATTTTTTTATAATAATATAATGCTCTCTTTTTATGTATATCTATGGTTAGAGGGAAGTTCAAATGGGACACAGAGGACTAAACGCAGATCACTGCCAACACACTACAGGCTCCTAATTATGTCATTTCTGAATCTAGCACAATGCCAGAGGTCCTGCTTATGGAAGAGAAAATCCCAAGGCATGTGTCGCTGAGTGTTGGGAAAGGTAACCCTAGTGCTGGGGACATATCCCCCACCATGGGCTCAGGGTTCTCCAGCAAAGCAATTAACCTGCATGAGCTGCCCTGGTTACGTAATAAACACCAGCAAATCTTAAGAGCTAGAAGCAATTATGGAGTAATTTTTTCTTCTAAAAAATCTTCAACAATTAATTGCTCTCCTTATAAATTAAAATGTTGAAAAATACTATACTTATTGAAAGGAAATGTCCAGATATATTATGACGCAAATTAAATATATTGGTAGTATGAATCTACACTGAAAAAATAAATATTTTATTTGTCAGTATGTAAATTCAGTACACACACTGTCCTAGAGGTTTGTAGCTAAGATGTTATTTTAGCCTGATGTCACTTCCTTTCCTATGAACACCATGTTACTATGGAATTCTGTTAAACATTAGCTTTAGTCTAATTGCAAACTAAATCTAATTGTAAAACCCTTTTTTATCACTGATTTAATGCACAGAGTAGGTCTGTAAGAGACTTCAGTTATAACGATTCTAGTAAAATCATTCATTACACTTCACCTCAGTGTAGATCTCTAAAAGATTTCAAATATAATGAGTAGAATAAAATCATTCAGCGCACTTCACCTTGTACCCTTACTTATCAGTCCAGCTCCTAGGGCCTACATGGTTAAAACTGTCAGGGCTTGGTTCTGCAATTACTGCTCTTGGGTCTGAGCACTTACTGGAAGATCGCGACCGTCCGTTCATGAAGACATTCAGAAATTTCCTCGAGAAGGGCATGTCTGCCTCGGGCGTGGAGTCCTCAGACAAACACGCCGCGCCTCGCTTCACCACGCTCTCCTCGTACTCCTCCCCGATGGCAGACTCGTAGGGCGAGGAGACGCAGTTGTCGTAGACGGTGGCAGAATCGCTGTCGTCGCTGTAGCCAGAGTAGCACTGCTTCAGGCTGACGAGCTCCAGCTGCATGTTCTCGTCCACCACTAATGTGTACTTGACAGAGTCGTACGAGAGGCCGCTGGCCTCGGAGCTGATAGAAGTCCGTGGGACGCCAGAGTCTCCCTGAAAAGCATTGTCCTGGGAATCGGCTGCCTGGCTTGTGCTCATTTTGTGATCTAAGGCCGAGGCGGTGGTAGTAGGGGCAAAGTAAACCTCATCCTCCTCACTGATGGAAGGATTTGTCCTGTTGGGAAGGGACTGGTAATGGGACGTGTCTATGTCCGAGCTGACTGACATGCGGTTGTCACTGGACTGAGACAAGAAGGGCTTGTCGTGCTCCAGAGAGTCTGAGTTCTTCTGCACGGGGGTCAGGTAAATTTCCTCCGTGGCCTCAAGCCGCACGTCAGTGTGATAGCGGATGCGATCTCTGTGCCCTTCCGCTGCCCCCTTGCTGTGATGCTGTTGCTGCAGCTGCTGCTGCTGTTGCTGTTGCTGCAGCTGTGTCTGTGGCTCCACACCTGCTGTAGACTTGGGCTTGTCCTGAAGCTTGGACCGCGTCCCCCCACTACTCTGGGTTGAAGAGCTGCGCCGACATGGGGTGTCTGTTGAGGTGCCTTTGTCTTTGGTCTGTGTTGTGCTGTGCTGGACTTTATCCTCGTCACTTAGGCAGATGTGGTCGTGCGGTGGAGTCAGTTCTCCTGTGACAAACCCATACAAATCTTTACTTATTTCTTATAGGTCAAAACAGCTTCGAAGCAATAGCCTGTACTATTTATATATTTATATTTAATGCATCTTCTTTGTTCACATTTGAGTTGTATTTATACAATATACAACTTTGAGTTGTATGAATACAACTCAAATGTGAACACAGAGGATACATTAAACATTTCTTCTGTTAGGAACGCCATACTAGAAATAGTATACAAAATACATCAAAATAGTTCAAGGTACAGCATTCAGCAATGTCAGTTATTTGTCCTTAATCGAATTAATCTTGAAACCCTAAAACATACTCCACCTGCAATAATCTTGCATATGGAAGCAACAACAGCTCAGAAGGTAAAACCATGGTAAACAGGTTAGCCAAAGGAGGTAAACCAAAGAAAACAAGTAATCAAGTATCCCATGCTCTCAAAAGCTGTTATGTAAAGAACTGTCAGAAATCAAGTGTAAGCATCATAAATCAAATTAATGTTTTTGTCTTTCATCATTTGAAAGCATTATAAAGTTGAATGAGATGAGGTTATCAAAACCATTCACTAACCATGCACAATTCACATGTCTGAGTCAGCTCAAGATGGCTACCTAATATGACTAATGGTTTGACTTTCCCAAAAAACATCTGATAATATAACTGATTTTTTTAATTTCCCTACCTTTGCAACAGCTGTAACAATCTGCTGAGGTTTCCAGTCCATCCTTATAAATCAAAAATGGAGAGCAAACATGTTTGACTTCCTCGCTCTGAATGGGAAAGGCTGGGCCCCCTTTGAAAACACGCTGCTCTTTGCTCGTGGCATATTGCTAATTCAGACACGTCTCCCAGCAACACTTCAAATGCAGTCACGTTTCTAATGTCGGTTTTTAAAACGGGAAACTTTGGAAACTCACCTGTTTTTAAAGGGGAAGATGACCGAGAGACTTTCTCCTGCCAGCTGTATTTCTTACCAAGCGAGTTGTTGTTTAGTGTGTCCTGTGATTCAATTAAAAGAAAAAAACAGACACACAACAAAGCTTTTATTCTGCTGAACAACCAGAGTCCTTTGTTTCCAGCTGCAGCATTCATTTAAAGGGAACATAAGTCCCTTTTACTGCCAAACAGGATCTGAGCTATATAATTTTCTCTGCTTCTATGTCTCAACTTATAGAAAACCATCTCCAGGTGGAGCCCACAACTAAATTAAAATAGTTTATGTTGGAAACAATCTTCTTTTTGTATCCAAAAGACCAGAATTTAATTTGAATTCCTTTTTTGGAGGAAAAAGCCATTCAGTGTTCTTGTGCTTATTTGGTAGGTTGTGCAGTGAAATAGTGAAGTAATACTAATTTGAATAGCTGGCATTCTTATTACCTCTGGGACTGTGTTTGGAAAATAGAGGCAGTAATTAGGGTCTCTCCCCCAGTCACTCAAGTTAAGTTGACACATTATGGTGACAACCAATAGAAAAGACTGGACATTCTTTTTTTTTAAACTCCGTGACCTATGCAAATAAAGTTTTAACAGCTGTTCAAAACATCTAGCAAATGTATGTTTTTAAGCACAATGAGCTTATATAGTTTAAATTAAGTAAAATTAATATAATACAAGAAGCTACTAAATAACAACAAACATCTTTAAAACCAAAGTTTTGTTGCAATAATTGCCAGTGGTTGACTGCTGGATATTAGAATCCTTTGTTCCTTTATTTTGTTTTGTAATTGGAAATTTAGTAATTGGTCATTTGAAATAATTTTTACATGTGGGTAATGGAAATATTATCAAATCAAATTGCTTTCAAGGGTATTCTGTGGCAGAAAATACACCAGAGGACCAAGTTCCAATAGACTCTGTCTAAAACGCTGTATCAAAAATATGTCAAATATGTATCACTGTGTAAAATAAATCACTATTTATACTGTGTTCACATGTCTAAAATAAAGAGTTGTTGTATAGTTGAAACGTTTTATCTTCTAAAATCTATCTGTATCTTCCTGGGCTTGCACAGTTTTAAGTGTGAAGTATTCTATGGGTTATTCAGAGATTCTTCTGCAATATTAATATTTCCTACGTACTACATTAGGTCTTCTCTAGAAAACAGTAACCTCTCAGGCTTCTTATTATTAGCAAGGTTTCCATGAAGAGAACGTGGTACATTAAACAAAGGCAGGGCTCAGGGTGCCTGCAGTATAGTTTTCTCCTCTTGAATAAAAGTACTTTGTTTTTCATCTAATCACTGACTGACTCAGATAATGCTGCTGCCAGATGTATTCTGTCACCGTGGTAACTACTGTACTATCCTGTCAATGGTGTAGGTGAAAAATGCTGTGAAACAGGTGCACTTAAGAAAAGCTCCATTAGGAATGAACTGATGTATTTCAAGAGCCAGTGTGAGTCACTGAAGTAAATCACTTTCCGCAGAGACAACTGCTGGGATTAACTTATTCTTTGCATTTTACCCTTTTAGAATTGTTCTGTACTGTATATTGGTCAGCTGCCTTTCTCTGCTGGAGGAGATAGATATTTCATACAATGTACAAGAAAACAGGATTCATTGAATAAACAATTGTGTACATTCCATCCATTTTCTAACTGCTTTATCCAATCCAGGGTCACACAGGGCTAGAGCCCATCCTGGCAAGCAATGGGCTCAAGGCAGGGAACACCCTGGATGAGACACTAGTCCATCGCAGGGCAGAAACAGACACAAAAACATACTCTCACACCAGAGTCAACAGCAGTTGTCATTGGGCTGTGGGAGGAAACCAGAGCACCTGAACAAAAACCAAGCAAACATGGGGAGAACATACATCCAACACAGAGAGCACCCCAAGTCTACATTTGAAAGCAACAAAGCTAACCGCTGTGCCACCATGCCACCCAAAATTGTGTATCTTGGTACAAAACGTATGTACTCTAGCACAAAATGGTAAGAAGGGGTTCCATTGAAATTCAAGATACAGAACAGAGAAAAGGGCAATATGATCATTTCATTACAATACTGTACAATACTTCCCACAGCAGGGACAGTGGAGGTTGGTTTGAATAATAATGACAAGTGTAATAGATCCTTCTGCAATGCCATTTCTTAGAAAGTCGTATTATAAATGTGAGGTTTCACTACTAATTACGTTTTCCCTGTGTGTGTGAGTCATAGTGTTATCCTCACTTTCGATCACTCTATAAAACATATCAATAATGGTAATGAAGTATGTTTAATATCTTTGTTGGAAGCCCACTTAAAAGTGTATTTATCATTCAAACATTAACCAATACAGTATGTAGTATTTCATCATCCTACTAGAGATGGCTACATGAGTAATATTCCCAAACTGCTTACCTCAGTAATTAAATAAACTCTATGAAATGGAGCTCTAAATGTTACAAAAATAGAGGATGGAAACAAAGTGGACTCATAGAAAGGTAAAAACAAAATGACACTAACATGGATAATAAGGGTCACTGTCAACTTTTAGAGTAAATGTCAGAGTAAGAGGCATGATTTAGCACAATGAATAGAAACACCTCCAACAAGTGGTGTTTTCCACATATTACATTTAAAGCCAATAAGTATATAACTACAGCCTATAAAATACAGCGCTCTGTAAAATCCATAGCAAACAGATCATTTGGATTTAGGGAGATAAGAGTCTAAAAATAAAACATAATCAATTTATGCAGATCTTCTAGGAAAAGTAATGACCAACTCCCACTTCCAGCATGCTTGGTCCTCAGTTAAACTCCATGGGTTTAATCCAAGGTGAGCCATATACTCACAATAGAGCCACTGACAATGTACATGAACAGATTTGACAGCAGTAAGATTAGGGATTAGACTGGAGATCCCAATCAAGATCTACTGTGAAGGTTGTTTTTCTTTTGCCGGTGCAACAACAAACTCGCTGACCTGGATATTATGATTCAGTACTGAATCATTCATTATTTTTAATCCCATGGTCATTCCTATGGTGTTTCGTCCAGAAAATGTGCTAATCCATCCATGACAGGTTACATCAGAGGTGTCGGCTCATGCACAGTCAGTTGTGTCCAATTCAAATCTGCTTCTACTTAAATGCTTCTCAGGTTTGCTCAGCTGTTAATCATTGAAGTGGACATCAGTAAAACCAATTCACAGATAAAAAGGAAGGGTAGCTGCAGGTCAATTTTCATTTTCAATTTACACTTGTTGAAAAACAGGGTAAAAAGCAACTTCAAAAGGCTGAAGGTTTTTTTTCTAGGTAACCTCAATTTCTACAAATTAGAAATTAAGGTCTATATCTGTTAACAGGCAAACCTTTTGTCTTGTGTTTTGTCAAGAGAAATAACCAAAAAGAGAACAGTTTTCACAAGGTTAGAAAATAACACATAGAGAACTTTTATGACATTGAACAATTCTGGATCTTATCAGGATGAAAAAAGGCAAGAGGTAATGAAAAAACCTTCAGCAAAGTCAATCACTTGTTCAACATCATAAGAGGTTCTCAAAGGTATTTTTACTCCAATACATTCATCAAATTAAAAAATCATGGTTATTTTTTAGAGGTCAATGCAACTGGTTAATATTATGGGAACTCAGGGTGCAAGGTGAGTCCATCCCATCAATTAATCCAACCCGCATGACTTATGTTCACCTATAAGGCTCTGAATGGCTTGGCATCTCAGTACCTGTCTGAGCTACTATCGTCCTACACCCCCACCTCACAACCTTTGCTCTTCTAATTCTGGTCTCCTATCTGTCCCCTAGGCCCATCTACACTCTATGGGTGACTGGGCCTTCTTCGGTTTTGCCCCAAACCTCTGGAACTATCTCCCCAAGAATATCAGAGAGTCACCTTCTCTAAACTTCAAATCTAGACTCAAAACCTTCTTCTTTAGAAGTTAGCCTTTACCTAACTGGTTCTGTTCTTTACCCCTCTGGTCTTACTGTACTCTCAGTACCCCCATCTACTGTCTGCTCTCATTGTGTATTCTCATTGTGCAAATGTTGTGTTTTTTTATTGTTGTTGTTCTGTAAAGCCCTTTGAGAAGCCACCTTAAAAGGTGCTATATAAAATCAAGTTTATAATTATTTATAAATATTATGTTAATTAACTAAACTCATACCCACAGCTTTAAAACACATTTGAGGGAGTTCTACTTGTCATTACGATCTTTCTGGATATAATATGGGGCATGGATAAAAACCTGCTTGCAAATAAATTATTCTTCTAAATTAATATACTGCATGAAAAATCCACCCTTCCATCTTTCTTCTGTACATTACATTGACAATGTTTTACAGTTCCACAGCCCTTAAGGAATCAAAGCCTGGTGATTATTTTAACAATTGAATTTCTAATTTTTCAAATGGCACTTATGTGCTTTTTACCTATGTATTTGCACAAATATCTTTCAGCAAAAACACATCAAACTCCCAGTATCTGAGAAATATATTGGAGTGCCGATAGAAATGATTTATAAAGATGAAATCTGCTTCCAAATATATAGGGTAATGCATGGATGTAGATACTGTTTGTGGCCCTTTTAAATTATGTGGGGAGCTGGATAGCTTAGCAGTGATTTTTCTGTTGTGCGGCCCTCTGATATTTCTCAGCCTGCCCACACAAGCCTGACTAGTAATTAATGTCTGCTGATGTTACATTGGGCCTAAATCGCTGTGAAAAATATCACTGACCACCATATCATTTAAGCAGAAGAGTTTATTTTAGATAATGTAAGAAGGGCAATTCTTTAATAAAGGTTATTTTCAGTAAGAAAACCGCTTTGTATTTTCATACTGCACTAATCAAAAGATGGTGAAGCGCACAACAGCCACGTATACATTAAATCTAGATCTGGCATCATGTTATCCATTCTCAAAGCTTGTTGCTAAAAAGAATGACAACACAAAAACAGGAATGGTCGAGGGACCTAAAAAGACGATGCTCTTAAATTGCCCAACCCACTTGTAGGTGAGGTTTATGTATTGATCCGCCCTTGCTCCAGTATTCTAGCCTCGTTCTAACCTCAGAAAGGAAAGCTTGTCAGAGCGTTAGAGAGGATGCTTTCTTACCTGAGTCCGAGGCACCTGTGGGAAGAGGTTAAGGGTGGTGGGTCTCTTGGGTCTGTAAGTATCCATGGTAACGGGAACGGATTCCTTCACTGGGGGGGCCTTGTTGGGCAGTTCAGCTTCCTCGTCCTGTATCTCATCCACCGCATCAATCAAATCCAAATGAAGTATCTCTGCCTGCAGCTTGCTGGCCTCACTCCCATCCACCTTCCCCGCTGCGCTATTGGCCTCTCTGGTCACACGGCACTGGAAAGACAGAAAAAGATTGGGCAGCAGAGATCAGTCGGAGAGCTGCCTGCATCAACAGGGGAGGCAGGGAAACCAATTCACTCACGTCATGGCTGTAACCCTTTCAGGACCCACTGCCTGGCTCGGTGACTCATCACTCGCTGGTTTACGCGTCCTCCTGGTTACTAATCATCCACACCCGTGTGCAGTCATGCGCAGTCACACAAGTCTGTTGTAGGAAAATATCTGAGCTTTTCTCAGCCTTCTTTTTCACTAAAAAAAAACTGCAAAAGCAAATCTGCGTTTCTTTTCTTACATATCAGTCAATACTATTTCACTTGGCGTCCACAAGACCTCAGAAAGAACCTATTAGTCAAATTGGTTTTAGATTGATTTCTGACGTTCATCTCAAACCCATCAGTACACAAAAAACCTAATTTGCAAACCCATGTATTTGGTTATTTTGTATTTTGATTTGTCCATAGTTAATGCACAAAAATTAAAATGTGAAACTAATTAAGTCTGCTATTGTATTTATTACATGCTCATTTCAGTTAAGCTGCAAAAAGATTTGTTTCTAGGATCAGAACAGATTACATCTGGTAATGCATACTAAGTGTATATTATAAATGCTAATCCTATTCTGTGCTATTATACTATGAGAATGCAACATTTGTATTTAAAACAATCATGCAAAATGAGTCACATACAGTATTATCCAAATGGAGAATTTAAGAACTTTCCATTGCAGTTTTTTTTCTCACATGCACTGCAATGTGGTAAAATAATTCATAGAGCTATTCCATTTGAATTTCATGTGATTTTCATTTCGGTTTAGTTATGGGATATAAAGAGATGGCCAGTATCAGCACTCAAAAGCTAAAACAAAAAAATCACACATCAAATAGAAACATTTGCATATTCTTTCTTGAGAAAAACAACTGAAAATGTAAGAGGTTAATCTCAATTTAGAACTGTTGATGTACTATCTTTATTTCTACTGAATTAACATGCATCATTCAAGTCTTTGGGTAATAACACAGTATTAAGACTTTTTACATGTCAGAAGTTAAGACCATGAAACCATTAATTCAGGCACTATCCAGGTCTTCATCACCCAGGTATCTCCCCTTTTCATTTTCAATCACGACTCTAATTCAGAACCAATTATCCAATAATATGTTATTTTGCCAGATCCTGTTTACTTTTTAAAATAGTTTCCAAGCCTTTATTGATCCCAACAACATTAGGGATGGTTGACATCAGATCTCAAATCTGAGGCTTTACAGGGAACTTTCAATTAGCAAAAAAACATAAAAATCAGGTGACTGGAGGTCTTACCCAAATAATAACTTAAATTAAACAATTAAGATCAGGGTTAGAATGCTGCCCAGTGTTCATTATATTTTGATAACAAGTATAAAGTTAAATCATTTACAAGCAAACTGAAAATGTTTTACTGTACATGTTGTACAGTAATTAAGAAATGTTGCAGGTCCAGTTAAGCAACAGAAAACTCGGGTGAAACAAATATTGGTTTGACAGCGACCCAGATAGGCAAAGTCTGATTCAGATGCATCATTAGAAATGATGTGAGAAAGCTTTGTCATTACTGATGGACTCTTCTTTACTTAAAATACTTTTTAATGACTAATGACTAATTGTCTGCATAAAAAAATCAATAATATCTGAAATATTAATTTTACCCATAAAAAAAGCATTTTGGCTACAGTGTATAAAATAAAATCTCACATTCAGAACAAATTCTGTAAATATTTCCAGGAAATCATTTCACATCTTGGTGTAAAAAAATGAATAATCTTACCCCTGAGGAAAAATACTGTTTTGGTGTTTTTTTTGTTATTCATTACACCACATTCTCTTTGAGAGCTTTTGCCTTGTTGCTAGGCAACCAGCCAGAGACAGGGCTCGGAGACACTGCTCTAGGATTAGACATTCATTCTTTCTATTTGCATCCTGTGAAAATGCCCCTGGAGTGACATACATATAGCACGACTGAGCCCTACTGCCTGACAGGAAATGCACAGATCATTGTCAGGAACCCTCCTGATCTGAATACACATTCGGCATTACAATTGTAATTTTCTTCGGCCATTATGGGGCAGAACTCTCCACTCTCAAGACAGAAGTGCAGAGGACACTTTTGTTAGAACAACACACAACATTTCAATATTCAAATGAGTACAGTCCCAGTGGCTGAATACCACAACAAGCGCAGAACTAACTAATTAACATTATCTACAGAGGTTCTACCTGGTTCTGCAAACTAGGCCATATGCAGTGCCCTCCACAGGTAATCATAGTGTTCCTGATGACATAGGGACAATTAACATCAAATAAAAGAAATGTGCAGAGATTTCATAATGTTTCATGTTACAAATATCCACAATCCAATTAATGAACTAAGGCAAATACATATTTGCTCTGTGCAATGCTATTATGATGTCAGTATAACATTAGATGTTTTATTGAAGTGAGACACTATCTCATCTGTTACGCATTGTGCTATATGATATTTTTGCACCCATTTCAAAAGAGGTATGAATACATCTGCAGGCCATTTATGGATACAGAAAACAATCTGCGAAACAAATGTTGCCCTAAAGCAAAATTGCTGAGAATCAGAACACAAAGAACACAAAAAATAACACACAAAACAATGCATTAATATATTTGGTGATACTGATTTCCATATGCTTATTTCAATACACTTCAGCTTACACATGAACTGATTAATTATCATTGGTGATTATTTCAGCCAATCTAAAATCAACTATGAAGGAAAGCAACCAAAAACAAATAGAGTGGTAGCAGAATGGCCCACCTTCCCTGCAGAGTCCATTTCCAGTGCCTATAATCCATTAACTGGATCCATTAATCAGAGAGCTCACGAACATCCATTAAAGCAGTAAGGCATCTGCTTCCTACTATAAGCCCAAAGCTTACATTCAAAAGAAACAGAGCCTGGGAAGAGGGAAAACTACACCTGGTATGCTTATTACCTCATCCAATGTGGGATTACCTCATCGCTGATATCACCATCCCAGGGGGGTTTTAGAAGGCTGGCCTCATCAATTATTGAGGGATGCCCAGGAGGCCATTCCAACACAAGCAGTTCGAGGAGTTGGTGACAGCTGTTGTAAGGAAGGGAGCCTGCCACTAGCAATGACCGCGGTAACTGAAAGGGCTCATTTTCAGGGCCTTTCAGGTTCAGTTGATATGCATTATTGTAATAACGACAGACAGTGGTATTGTGCAGTCCTTGGTATAACTGATTCTTAGGCACAAACAGAAAGCAAGGTCCAGATATCCATTTAAGATATCTTCTAATGCTGGTGGTGGTGTTGTTGTTTTATTCATGTTGCAAGGAACCCAAAACTGGAAGATGGTTATCAATAATAAAACAAAATTACAGGAGAAATTATTATTGTGATTTGTAAAATGACAAGGTAACCATCTAGAGGAAGCCTTATAATGAATGTGTAATCTGCAGGATAAAAGTATTTTATTCATTATAACAACTCTCATATGTGGATTACAGTGTCAGGATTCCTAAATACCAAGACATAAAACCCTAAACATAAAAAGAGAGCACTGTGTAACATTAGTTTCTTAAAGAAAAATGTTGAATTCCCTTTCACAATATGGCAAGGTTGCTAGTTTTCTTTCTGAAAAGCGAGCCTGAAAGACTGTATCTAATACGCAGAGGGAAAAATGGAATTTCCATGGAAACCACACTTCATTATTATATTTACACCTACGTATGTATGACAGTGATATTCATTCTTTTGTCTTAACTGTGGTAAAGTTCTAGATGTAGGAGTTCCCATAGGAACTGAGAACGTGACTGAGCACAAGAACACAAGAATACACAAGCACCATGCATTGCCCTTAAATTAGTATGTAAAGAAATAAGGGCGACCATCTTAGCAATTATACACTGTATACTGTATGAGTCATCGTTTCATGGTGCCATCATGCTGCACACTGAGCTTGTTAAGAATGCCGACATGGCAATACACATCCATTATATTTCCTTGGTTACAAAGAAAGTAATCTAATTTTTCATTATTTCTACAAAGGAAAATGGAGAGATGGAAGTGCTATCTGACCTGCTTTTAAATGATGGTATTTCTATGGGGGTATTTTACTTTATACCACTATGGTTACAATGATTTCCAATGTAGATTAGAAAAGGGTTCATGCAGATACTGGTGATTTCTAGGGCTACAAAATAAATGCAGCCATTTTGACAAAGGAAATATTTATTTGCTTTCTGTAACAAAGGAAATGCTTTATTTAAACAAGGAGAATGGCATTCCCCATTACACTGAGCAGTGGGTGACTCTACCAGAAAATTCTGCATTCTGGTCATTTTTGATGGTTAACTGCTTACATAAACACGGACAAAAAGATTAAAATTGTATTGTTACTTATTTCACGAAATCCTTCAGAAAGCATTTTGAAAGTGCAAGCTGACCTTGAAAAGTCTACAGTATGTTTAAAAGCGGAAAGCTAACCAAATCCACTGTCTCCTTCAATACATGTTATGCAGTTTCAGAGAATTAACAAGACTACAGACCTCCTCAGGACAAAGTCTTGGATCATGTGAGGTGAACTGGTCTGACTTGGTCTGCTTGACTTGGGGCACAGTGAGTCACCAAAATAAGATTAACTTCCTTGTAAACAGTTTATTGAATGCAGTAAAGAGTTAATTTCAACAATAGCACAGTTCAAGCTTCTAATTCATCACTACACATTGTAACTTAAAAAATGCTCAGATTTCACTACAGGTTACAATATGGGCTACTGCCTAAAATTGTGTGCACTGCCAATAGCATATCTTCATATAATAAGCTCCCCAGACACCACAATAATGAGAAACCATAAAAATATATTAGAATATCAAGAGGGTTTTCCTACAAACTAGGATAGAGAAAATGTATTTAAAGACTTTCCTTCCTGTGCTTGAATGTTAAGAATGTTATTGTTACCACAGGGTGATATTGTGTCAGGCCCTAATGATGATAAGCACAAAACGACTTGACATGTAGTTAGGAAACAAATGGAGAACAGTTGTTGGAACAGTTCCTTACTGAAGTAAACAGAAGCCATGTAAATACATTTATATTTACAAGCAAAATATAATATTTTGGCCAGAGGTTTCAATTAAAATGTCAACAACTTGTTGAAGACAAGTTTCAAGTGACACTTTATTTCATAATATGTTGTAATAAAGTGAAAGACTATGATATTATTAGTTCTAAGAATATGCAAAATTCAAGAAAGATATTTAGACTGCCTGTGTTTCACTTGCATTAGAAAAAAAAGTTTTACAACATACAGAGATTTGCTTTACTTATGCTTCTGAAACATTACTACAAGTAATTTAATATCAAATGATTCATTATGACAGTCTATTCTACATACAGTATGCTGTATGCCATTGACCTGTTTTGAATTTTGAACACATTCATTTGCTTCTCTTGTAGGGTAACGATCATACAACAACAATTCTTCTTCTTCTGCTTCGTCTCCTTATTCCTGGCATTAATACTGTATATGTACTTCTCACCAAGAACATTCCTAAAACACTTTATATATAAGATGGAACCCATTAATCCACTACTGAAGTGCAGCAAAGTGAGCACCACCAGGAATAAAACGTGCACTCTTCTGAAAACTGCCACGGGATCTGTAACAACCACGTATTGCGGATCTCGGCTGAACATACTGTACCATCCAGTGGGACAGTACTTGCGTATCGTCATTATGCTGGGGTTTTGGGTTTTGGAAATCCATGTCCACAGGGGTGAGTGCCACCCACTGTTCCATTTGTGAGGTTTTACTGTCTGTGAACTGCACCTTGTTAACTTTCCAGCTTGTAGACACGAATTCCAGCGTAACTCTGATTTCTCACACCAGCAGATGTCTGACTAATAAAATGGAATCAGATTAAAATAATCACATCAAAGGTTGGGTGTCATATACGGTGTAGGTGTAATATCTGCATAGTGGCTGTCCAAGGGGTATGGCTTCAGAGGATGAATATTATGTAAAAATCTCAGACTTTCATTATTTCAGTCAGAGTTGATGATAGCCTAAGACATACTGTAGTTACTTAGTCATGCTTTATAAATTGACTCATACCATGAACATCTATCCTCTAACAACTCTACTAGGTTCTTCCTTTTCACTCTTGCATGTAAAAAAGAAGTACACCATGCCAAAATGATAGTAGGCAATAACCTTCTCAACAAAATTTGCCTTTTTGAGGGTGAACAGCAACAAAGAATGCAACAAAAATATATTGTGTTGCATTTTTCCATTGCGATGGACAGACTTTCAAAGTCCTTTCCCCAACACCCCTAAAATAAATGTGAAAAAACTAAAGAGAGGTGCGTTTTATCATCTCCTTACTGTGACATCTAGGCTGTCGTTGCAGTTCAGGCTCATGCCACATTCATCAGTGATCTCCGTTATCTCTGACAGATCCTCGTCTTCAAACTCATCCAGACTGATGTCATGGGTCAGCCTAATGGAAGCACAGAAACAAAACATTTGTTCATTTTCAAAGAGTTTCCAAGAGAGACTGGATTTGCCTTTATGTCCTGCAAAGGACTTGTCAGTACTGCCAACTATTTTGCATGAACTCAGAAATGCACAACATTTATTTCCAGATTCAATACTTTATTGTCTTTATTGTCAACAAAGATAATTGGAATTTGCCCCAGTACATCTTAAATAAAAATAACTATCACAATGCACACTTATTAATACATACAGTATGTACACATTATTCAATCAGAAATCTTAGACTTAAAGTTTAACATTAAAAATCAAAAGTTCAATTCACTCCTGTGTTCATTTAGAAGTCTGCATAATCCTCACATGTTCATGTGGATTTTCTCCCACAGTCCAAGGACATGACATCCAGGTTAGCTGGAATCTCTAAATTACTCCACATATATTTGTAAAAGAGAATCCTTATAAATGTGGACCCTGCAATGGACAGATGCTCCATCTATGGTGTTGTACTGACTTGCACCCTATTCCTATTGGGTTAGTCTCTAGCTCACCACAACCCTCTAAGAATCAAGCAGTTACATCCAAAATGAAAATGGATGGATAATGACAGCCCTTGCTGCATATATTTATTTCCAAGTAAGAGTCAATGTATATGTTCCTGTGATAACTACCATTTTTGTCTACAATTAATAATATCATCAAAAACGATATTATAAAACATGTTCATCAGGATCCTTGTGAAAAGTGAAACCTTTAAGTATTGTGAAATGAAGTTGTATATTTAAGTGTTTTTGGATATGGATTTAGATAAGTGTCGTTAAGTTCCAGATATGTTAATGAGTTCCATTACATTAGAGCTTGTTTCGGATATTTTAGTAACTCAAGGATACCTGAGGCCAAGAGACCTGACCTGTAAATAGATATTCAGTGGTAATATATAAATAATTACTTTATACCCCACTATGTTTAGATACAGATTACGTCTGTGTAACCTAGAAGGCACTTTTTGTGACATCGAAAAATAATAATTAATCTTGTTTATCTTTCTGTCATGTCAGTTTGCACTGAGGAAAAAAAAAAAGCTTTTTTTCCCCAATTACCTCTGAACGATCGTAATAAAAGCCTACAGCTATCTACTGTCACTTAGGAACACAAGTGACAACACCATGGCACTGGTGATTAAATTATGAATTGCTACACAAAGAGGGAATAAGGTTTGCTGCCCAGGAGGACGAATCAGAGACACTGTTGCTTAACTTCATCTGACAGTAGGAGAGGAGACTGCGGTCAGTCTCCTGAGGACAACAGAGCACAGCTGATTCCTGGGTCAAGGAAGGGGTGGGGCCATTTTCCTCAGCTTTTGTTTATCATTTTAGGCCTGTACACATCCTGACAGGCCTACGGGTATAATTCCAAGTTCAGTGCTGTTCTCCCACTCTGAGGAGCACAAACACTTCTTCTGTTAAAGTGCTCACCATATCAATCCATCTTTAGAAAATAAAATACTGTATAATAAACTGCTGCCCACTTGCTTTTGCACTTCTAGTGAAGTAAAGGCCTCCCAAGCAACTGGTACCTGGTATGTTGGTAAATTTAGATAATTTGGAGAAGCAAATTCCTTTTTTACTAATATCAGTTTATGTGTCCTGTATTGTATGTGATATTGAGTAATAAGCCCCAGAACTAAAAAGGTATTATAAACAAACTAATCAGATCATGAAGAGCAATTTATATTTTCAAAACCAAGCTCAAAAGTTTGTGAGAAGCTACAGAACAACAGAAACTCTTGACCAAGTGTTTTGATTGTACGTTGACATCTGAAACAAACTGAACAAGCCTCTTGTACAAGCTGCCCAAGATTTACTAGGGGGAAAAATCAAGCAGACTCCTGAAGTTACTGCAGAATGACAGCTGTTTTGACATTGCTGCACTGGAGTGAGTTCAGCACACAACAGCTGCTTTGCACAACAAAACACTTCATGTTGAATTCCCCTACTTGGCTGTCTTCAGTTGGAGAGATCCTGTCAAAAGAAAGCCCGTGCTATCCTGAGTTCCTTTAAGGACAGCCTGTGCATTCGATCAAAAGTATAGCAGAGTTAAAACCTTGAGGTTTTCAGAGTCAATCTCGTATGGGATCAATTACAGGTACCATTATCACACAACAAAAAGGTTACTCAAATCATTAAGCATTAGATCTTTTTTAGTTCCTTTTAGTAAGTTAACACATTTCAAGCATGGCACCAAAGTTAACATCAGAATTAAAAAATTTGACACGGATTGGGAACTGGAGATACTAATGGAATACAAGCAGGTGAGAGAGGAACATTTGCAGTGCAGGACATCATGGCTGCTGCTGAACCACATGTAGGTGTGTTTTAGAAAGGAAACAAGCAGATGTTGTATGAATGTTGTTAATTAAACATGGAACTCTCCAACAAACCGGCATTTTGTTTTTCTGGCTTTCACATCTTGTGGCGCTATGATTTGAAAATTGTAGATAATGTGGGCACTTGCCTGAGCCAATGTCTGTACACAAAAACATTCTAGGAATGAGTTAACTCTGACATGGAAGGCGTTCAAAGCCATTTGTTTTTAGGCAGTAGAACAGGAGTGGAAAGGAACGGAACAGTAAATAACATTTAACCAATTATTTCTAGCTAATTTCTTTGGATGCAAAACAGTTCCTGGCCTGTAATCACAATCCAGCCACAGACTGATCGTGTCACACACATCAATGCTGGGTGCTTCTCTCAGAAAAAAAACACACTGCTGTATCACAATAATAAAATCCATACTGTCATCTGGTTTAAACAAGATAACAGCACGTTTGTAAGAACTAAGATCAGCATAGTGCAACAACCATGGATCCATGTTTTACTTTCTTAATCTTTTCTAAGTTATTATGGACTGCTCTAGTTCCTAAAGCCCTCCAGCCCTGCAGAGACCATTTCCAGCTGCAATGCTGTGCCCTGAAACATCTTGCTTCCTCTTAAGTACAGACAGTACAGACCTGCTTGAAGGTCTGAATTTAATGTCTATATGTTTGTAGCCTTGTATTTTCTCAGTGGCTTCACTTTTGCAGTACTGTAATTTCATTTAGATTCAAAACACAGAAGAGAGCTTTACTTGCAGCATAATACCGAATAGCACTAATACTAAAGATTTTGTTTTACTTAGTAAGCCTGTGTGTGAGCCAAGTTCAATATACTGTATCGTTAATGTAAACAATTATACATGTATGTGCTGAAAGATCATTTTGAGATCAATTTAAACATTCTCTAAATTCAGTTGTAATGAAACAACAAATTTATGCAATATAATTAAAACATATAGATAATTATGATAACCTGCTCTAGAGGTGAAATATACATTCTAAAAAACATGCCCTGGAAGCGAGGGGTATCCTATACTTGCTTTAACTTTTAATAGTTTCCAATACACTCCTAAAACAAAGTAAATGGTGAATAAAAAAGGGCTTATTCAATGCAACTAAAGCACTCACATACATGAATATAAGATCCTACTGAAACTCACTGGAAACCCTGAGTCAGAACCCTGCAAAGAGCACTTTTTAAAGTCAGTAACTGTTATTCCACAGTTAAAAATCTCATATTGCAAAGTATAGTTTTAACCTGCCTCAGCTGGAGACAGCCCTTGTTTGGCTGCAGCATCTCTTTTTTTTTCCCAAGGACATTACACAGACCCAGGCAAAGAGCACAGGACAGCCGAATCAGCAGACAAAAAGCGCAAGGTCAAACCATCGGCTCACGGCAAGCATGTTATTACACAGGAAACACCCATACAACAAAATCACAGCACTTTCTCCTACCATTTCTCCCACTGATCCTCCATCCAGCTCTCTCCTTCGTTAGACTCCATGACAAAAGTGAGCAACATCTACTCGGCAAAGCAATTACCAACCAGATCAATTTAAAAAGCAATTAGAGCTCCCCTTTATTCTAAGTGCTATCCGGAGTCCTCAGACCAGACTAGACTCTTGACTGCATAGCCAGCCACCAGCTTTCTGGGATTCGGACTGCTGCGCTTTTCTTCTTCTGGTATTAACATTTTCCAAGGTCCATAAACATACCATCAGCTGTTGCAAAAGAGGTAAAAAAAACTGCTGTCCTGTACAGAAAAAAAAATGTCAAAATGCTTTGTCTGGACTTTGGCTGGGGCCACTCTTCTAAAAAGCTCTGCTCCTTTATTATTAATGGATCCAATCGATAAAGCTCATGTTGCCACCTCCTTTTTGATCCCTGCTGAAAGGTGGATAGTGTTACTATGATCAATGGGGCTGGTACTGCCTAAATTCTGCCTCCTCATCTTAAAGGATGCTGTAAAGGTCAATAGCATTGAAAGCTGTTAACCCTGTCATTACTGTAGGCTTGTTTTACCAGTATACTGTACTTTGGGCTTCTGTCTTAAGGATAGTAAAGCACAGAACTATTTACCACTAAAATGGGTTTGCAATCTACTTACAGAACACATCTTGAATGTCAAACAATTCGAAGCTGGTGCTGGGATGTGCAATCGGGGAAAAAGATTATTTTTAAGAAATCTGACTTAGGCTGACTCTAGGGAATAGTCTCTGGCTTTTATGAAAGGGGCTCTTCATCACTGAAAACCCCTGACAGGCTCCTTATAATAAAACCACCGGGCAGAAAAAATGCTGCAGAAAAACAGGAGGGATGGAAATGCTGCAAAGGCGTGAAATGGTATCATATGTTGGGGAATTAACGAGTGACCGAGATCCATAGAAAGAAACAAAAAGACTGCTAGACTGATCTATACAGACATGGATTTTAATGGTTACTCGAAAGTGCTTTTGCCTTTTTTGACTTTACCTTTTCAATTGCCTGAATGTTTAATTTACTCTCTTCCTGACACTGACAGATGTTTTTCCAATCTCATTGATCCATTGAGAAAATTCAGAGTGATGTTCTTACATGATCCTACTGTAGTAAAGCCTCTTAGCGTTGCCTGCAGTGACCATAGGTTCCCCTG